TAATATTAGATTGTATAAATTTAGAAAATAAGGTTAGGAATTACTTAATCTTTGTTTTATTTATAACTTCATATATATTAAAATTAAATTAGTTATTAACAAAATATTAATATGTAAGTGATATATAAGATTTCTTAATTAATTTGAATGTAGCATTCATCATAATATCAATAATATTAATAGGAAATTAATTTATTTAAGATAAATAGAATTTAATTATAATTGTAGTCATAATTCCAAGTTTAATTATAACAATAGTATAATAAATAAAAAAATAAATAGATTTTAATATGCTTGTAATACTTCCTGAAAATTAATCTACATATACACAACAATATTTAATAACTGTATTTTCTTAAAAAAATTAATTGAATTGTATTTAATAATTCAGTCTCTCATTATTTGTATTTAATCATAAGAATAATTGTCAAGACAAATAATGTTAATGTAAAAAAACAAGTTTGATGGAAAATGATATTAAATTAAGATAATTATATCTTAAATAATTAATATTAGATTTTGGGAAATCAATAAATAGATTAGCTGATTAAAGTTTAAGAGGATTCTTTTCATTATTTTATATATAAAGTCTAATTGCAATAAATTAATCAGTTAAAGCATATCAATAAACAAATATATTACTACTTAAATAAAATGTTCATTAAATTAATGATTAATAAAATATCTTTAGTGAATAAACTAGCTATTCAGTAACAGTTGAAGAAAATTAAAATGTTTATAAAAAGAAGAGTAATTCAGATATGATTCATAGACTTGAAAAGATTTCTTTAAATTAAATTAGTTATATTAATCTCATAAAATTAAGTATTATATTAGAAATAGCTAAATAAAATTTAATTTCAAGTTTTAGTTTTGGAAATGTAGTATAAAAAACATAATTAAGTTAAAGTGTTCAATTATTTATGAAAGTTGAAGAGTAACATCAATAATTAAAATAGAATATTATAAATATTATCAATAGAAAGAAAGATATATTTATGATAATGTCTTCAACTACAAGATTAAATCCTGAAAGATTTTTAAATTAATGTTTAGATTTGATAAGAAAAATTAATTTTATGGAAAATGAATTATCTCATTTGTTTTAGGAATTTCCAAGTAAAAAAATGTAATCTATATATTCATTTTATTGTGGTGAAATATTAAGTAACTTTTTGTAAGCTTATAGAATTATCAATTATAATGCAATATCTGATAATGCTTTAATAAAAATATAAAAAAACTATTAAGTGGATTTATTAACTACATAATTACATTATATGATCTTAGTAATGGATCATTAAGGAACAGGCTTATAAATAGTTGAAAGATCACATTAAATGCATAAAATAGTTGAATATGAATAATAAGAATTTAAAGAAATTAAATCTATACTTTCCTTATTACCAAGAGGATTTTCTACTATTCATAAACATCTTATTGAAGATTTCTTAATTTCAGGTAGATCTAAATTCTTTAGGGAATAAAATGTCAATTTAATTTTATAAAAAGACTCATTTTTAAGTCCAGTTGATTTTTTCTTTGATTTTGACCTTACAAAATTATAAGAATTGACTTTTTAAGTATTTTTCTCAGAAACTAATGGTACTAATTCTTATTTAATTTTAAATAATAAGAATTTAATATTAGGTGTAACAAGAGAATTATGTAAATAATTAAAATTATAGGAGTTTGAATTTGAAAAATTACCAGAATTATTTTATTTAACTGAAATTTAATAGATAATACCAGAATTCTATTCATTAATAGATCAAAATAAAATTGATAAAAGTTAACCTTTTTCAAATGTTTAAATCATTTTTAATGATAAAAATCAAAATGCTTAAAAATCTTTATAAACTTATACAGATTAAATGAAGAAAAATCCTGAATGTATTAGATTTTATTATGCTAATATTGTGGTAACAATAAGATTAACTCATTCAATAATAGAAATAAAAAATGTTGTAGAATCAAAAAAATCAATATAATAAGAATCTATTGATTAAGATAATTTTGAATAAGAATGTTATGAGTTTATTGAAGAATTGCATATATAATAGCCTAATTTATTTAATAATGATTTATTCCCTAAATTAAAAAAAGAACCTGAAATTTAAATTGAATGTTTTATTTAAGAAGAAATACCTGAACATATTGATTAAATTGATACTAATAGAGTAGTATCTATATAATAAAGATAATTACTTTCTGAATCAATATAATAATATGATTTAATAAGTCCTGGAAAAAGTAATAGATAATTAATAGATAAAACAAATAGTTTTGTAACACATTAAATAAATTTCAGTAGCTAATAAAGATTTTTTTTAAATCAAATAGAAGAGAAAGAAAAAGAATAATCTTAATCTAATTAATCAGGAGCTGAAAAAGGATTTTCAAAATTAAATTATGAATAAAATTAATAAAATGCTGAAATTAGAGAAAATTTAAGATAATAATTAAATGAAGAAAATTAAACTTCTATACATGCTAAAAAACTTAATTTAGATAATGCAGCATCTAGTACTTTAGGAACATTTTCATAAAATTTTTAACTATTTAAAAAGTACGAATTATTATAATAAATTGTATCATCTGTTAAATTTTCAATTATGTTTGATTTAATGATATTTTCTCTTTTGATTGTTTCTTTGATATCAATTATTTTTGCTATTGTTTTAATAAATAATTCAAGTACTGATATTTATAGTGCTTTAAGTTAGTTGTAAATGTTAGAATTTTACACTTCATTTATGAATCCCTGTTATTTGTTTTTATCATCATTTGCTTCCACATATAATTATAGAAATGGAACATTTGATCATAATTAATAATAAAACATATAATCATTAATTCAATACAATCAATATGTTATAAATCAATCATTTGTAAATATCAAATAGAGTTATGCTAATTAATCTAAAGGTAGTTTACTTTAATAAGATTTATCAACTACTTTAATAGAATTTAAACACATTAAAGATAATTCTTTTTCATCTGAATAAATTTCATTACGTGAATCTATATTTTCAATTATTTAATATCAATATAATTTTTAAACTATTTTCATTTAGGATAATGGAATAGAAAAAATGATGTAATAATTAATCTAATATATTATCAATTTGAATGATATCAACAATGAAATTTTGAATTTAAATACAGAAATTATTACATATATTAGTGATAGCAATTTGTTATTATAACATAAGTGGATAGTACTTTGTATTAGATGCATTTATTTAATTTTATTATTTTAATTATCTGCTTGGCTATTATACATTAAACATATTAGAAAATATTCCAAACTTTTAAAATTATTTTAAAAGGTTGATGTTGTTTGGGTATTAAGAGATTTAGAAAGATGTAAAGAATTACTTAGTTTACTTAATAAGGATTCTAATTTAATGTTTAGATATAAATTTAATATTTTTTTAAAGGAAAGATTCTTTAAAAGTGAATTATCTAAAAAACATATTATATAAGATAAGATTAAGAGAACAGGATTCGTAAAATTAGATACTAAATAAAAACTATTATTAAGTAGGTTAGGCAGTTTTTTATTTTATTCATCTCTTTTTGGTATTTTCTTTATTTTTTCATTTGTTATGAATTTATAAGGAATTAAATTTATGGATTATTATTAAATAAAGAGTTTATAATATAATTCAATAGGTGAACTTGGTTTATCTATTCCTAAAGCTTATAGCTTAAGAGAAGTATTGTATTTTAAAAATAATAATTTTGTTGGTTATGAATATATATCATAAAATTTAACTGAACAATATTTACAAATCATATAGAGTAGTTTAGATAGTTTGAGTACTTACTTATAAACATACACCTTACTTGAAAGTAATTATAATGATGAAACTTTATTGGAATTAAATAATAAAACATTATGTGAAGATGAAAGTATTGTTAAAACATTTGATTTACAGTAATAATATTTATGTAAATAAATCTATGATAATGTTATGGATAGAGGTCTATCTATAACAATAACAAAAATTAGGGATATTCTTTTGACTGAAATGAATAATTCTTAATCATTTACTAGTAGAATTAATCCTCCATTTAATGAAATAGAAATTGGAATATATTTAAGTGTTATTATTATGAATGTTTTACAAACCATAAAAGCAGGACTCTCAGAGGAAGCAGATTAATTAAATATGACTATTTAGGTAATACTAAAATCATATATTTAGATTGTTTCTATAATTTATTTAGTTTTTACATTCCTAAAAATAGGATTCATTCTATTATTTGTTAGAAGCCATTATTTGAATGAATTTCAAAATGTTAAGAAATTAACAATCTTATTACCATAAGCTGCATTATTTATCGATGATTTATTTGAAAGGCAATTAAGATAGCTCATTGCTAAAGAAAATCTCGTCTGAATTTATAATTATTCGAATATTATATATATATATATTATTATTATATTAATATTTGGTATTGATAAAAACAAATATCTATAACATTTTTTATATAACATTCTAATATTAAATTGTATAAATAAAAGTATATCATTAATGTCATTATTAATGCATAGTTGAATCGTATGACATGTCACAATTTGCTATATTCTATAATTTATCTAATTTTATTGGTTCAACATCAACTATCATAGTCGGATGTAATTTATGGACTATTTGATATCTATACATCAATAATATCAAAATCATTAAAATTATTATAGCCCCTGATTATATAATGATAATAGCAAAACACTCAGTTGGTATTTATGAGCATAAATCGACTCCCATTAAATGTTTCACAAATTAAAAAAATATAATTATTATACATTAGGATCTCAATCTTTTATGTATTAATTCAATCTACAAATAATTCTTATTTTTTTAAACATCCTATTTAGTTATTATTATTGTATCCATCAATTTACAAGAATGGATTAACTTGATTTATTGTTTAATAAATTAGTAGATTAGCAGAATGAATAACAATTAAAAATCATTTAGATAATAAGTTCAATATCTATATTCCAATCTCATATTCTATAAAAATTTTTTTAGAATTATTAGACTAAGAACTAAAGAATTTTATAAAAAATTATTTAAGATGTCAATTAAAACATAGACAAGCCTATAAAAGCTTTGAAATACTACTTTCTATACCTTAAATTCTACATTTGAAGATTGTTTTTTTATTAAAATAAAGATAGTAACAATACACTTTAAGAAGAGTTCATTTTTTATGTTAACCTATCTTATTTTTAAATGAAAAAAAGATTATTTTATTCCACCTCTTTCAATATAAACATCAAAATTGATGATAAAATCTTCATGTTTATTGAGTTGTTTGTAATTTTAAACAAATTATCCTTTTTGGGGAAAAGTGATTATTTTACATGAATTCAAAATGGATTTAACTTTAAATAAGCAAAATAATTTGGAAAGTATTTAGTACATTATCAATAATCTTTTTATGTAATATTATAACAATTTTGTTTGGTGTAGAGGAGATTTAGAAATTAAAGTTTGAAGAATATTAAATTTAATATACTTTTATCATAAATCTAATATATTTATAATTAATTGAATATAAAATAATACGAAACTAATGTTTTAACAATAATATTTGATAATTGATTGGAAAGAAACATAACTTTATTTTCTTTATTATCTGTTAAATAAGAAGTTCATTTAATATAATTTCAATTAATAAGTCAATGTATTGAAGTAAATAAGTTGAAATATGACTACTTAAAAATTTTAATCCGTATTGAGTACTAAAACATAAATTTCAATATTTAATTGATTTTTATTTGACACGTTTAAAATTTCTAATAAAAAAAAAGATGATTTAGAAACATTTAAATTGATTATCAAATTGAAAATTGAATGGCATAAAAAAATTACGTATTCTAATTGTAATTCTTAATATATATATATTTATTAATAACATAAAATTATGTATTTAGAAGATGATTTTTATTATCCATTCTACCCTATAGATTTGGTGAATCTCAATGATTTAAGGAAATAATGTTTAGTTTATACTTTAATTATGATGAAAATTGGATTATTTATTATCAAAATATTTTAGCTTTGAATATCTTTCATAATATTGAAATCTTCATAAAAAAAGGTAGAATTTATAATATTTTGATTGCAATGAAAACTATCAATACTGAATTGTTGAAATAATTAGAAAGAATTCCTTAAATAATTTAAACTTATAAAACATCAATTGATAAAATATATAATTTAAAATATACTAGTAAATTTTACATTCTCAGTCTAAATTCTGACTATATAAAAATTAATTAAGAAACTATTTTTAAGATACTATAAGAGTAATAAAAGGAATTATACATTAGATTAATATTAGAATTAAGATTATCAAATTATAGGAGAGCTTTGGTTGGCAGTTTTTTTTTTTGAAATCTATTATGTTGTTATTTTGTGATTTGTAATGTTCTTTGAAAATGTATTCATATATATTATTATGGGGAAAGGAAGATAAGTAAGACAAAAATACGTTAATTGAATTAAGAATTAACAGATATTGGTAAGGTTAAGTATAGACTAAGTAAAATATTTGGAATGACTAATAAATTTCACTTTTTTTTATTTAGAATAACCTAATAACTTCGAATTTTAGATAGGATGACATCTACATTACCGTTTTATTCTGTTTTATACTTATACTTCCTTTGGGGTTTAAATATAACTTAACAACATAAATAAATAATTAATTATTTTTTTAGATGATCAAGAAGAGGATTAGTAAGGATTAAAATAATTGTTAAAAATACAAAAATTCTAATAAATCTAGAAAATATTGGACTGAAGAGGAAGATAATATCTTAAAATCAACAGTTTAGTTGCATGGTTCAGATTGGAAGCTCATTGCTGAGTATTTGAATGGACGAAATGCCAGTTAATGTGCTTAAAGATGGAAGAGAGTCAAACCTGATAATGTAATTTTATATTAATGTATTTATTAGGAAGAAAAAAATTAAAAATGGACACCTGAAGAAGATGAAAAAGTTAAGAGGTTAACTAAAGAATATAAGTTTGATTGGAAGGTGATTGCTCGTTTTCTCTCAAATAGAACTGGAAGGCAAATTAGAGAACGATATATAAATCATCTAGACCCAAATATAACTACTAAGGCATGGAGTTAATAAGAAGATTTAAAAATATGGACCTTATACAAAAAGATAGGATCGAGATGGTCTGAGATGGCAAAGAAACTAAAAGGAAGACCAGTAAAATTTTTAGTTTATTATCTTTTTAGGAGAACATGATTAAGAATAGATTTTATGGATATATAAGAAAAAATTATGCTAAATAAGAAAATCCTTACTATATAGTACCTAATCAAAAGAGATAACTTAATAGGGAGGATGATCAAGTTGAAATTTTAAATAATCAAAATACTCTTGAAACAGGAATTTAAGATATTGAACCATAAATCATCGAACAAATTTAATAAAATAAATCAATATAATAATAAGATGAATAATCTTAATCAGGCATCCATTCCATATTGTAATCACTATAATCTGAAAAACACAACCTTAGCATGATAAGCAATCAATAAGATCTTCAATAATTATAACTGTTTCATAAAATGTTTATAGAATCATCAGAAAATGAGTTTATGAAATTTGACCATCATCCTGTTAACTATTTATCAAATGAAAGCAATATTCATAGTTATGCTAACAGTCATAACTAATTTACATATACACCTTAAAAAGAAGAGGAGAATGATAACTTTCTCAATCAATTTTTATAAGTTGAAGGTTCCTCTGTACCTGTTGCAATGAGAGCCGATATATTTGAAGAATTTTAAAAATACTCTTAATTAGAGTATTGAAATCCTCAAATACAGATTATGATTATATATCGAGTCATTTAAATTTTATTTATAAATATATAGTTAATACATTTTGTAAAAGTAAAAGAAATTCAATGAATTGTTAAATATATAATATTAATTTATATATTTGATTTCAATATTAATCTGTCTATTCTTCTTTATTCATGTTTAATATCGTATAAAAATTACTGAAATAATATATTTTAAACATATTTAAATATGAATTAATCAGAAACCTGCTATGATTCTGATTTATTTGTAAATGAACAAGTGACAGGTTTAACTTGTCCAATAGGTTTAGGTGTACTTAGAAATCCAGTATTTGATTAATGTGGACATGTATTTTGTCATGGATGTATCTCTGATTGGCTTAAAAAATAAAAACTATGTCCAATCAACAAGCAACCATTAAATGAAAATTAATTAATTAAAGCAATTCCAATTAAAAATATGATTGATGAACTAGAATTAAAATAATGTTTATTGAAATGTGATTGGAAGGGAACTTTAGATAAATATTATACACATGATGAAAAAGAATGTCCTGAAAAATAATTGCATTGTGTAAACAAAGATTGTAATATATTAATCAAAAGAGCATCTCTTAAATAACATTTAGAGAATGAATGTCTATATTAATAAATAGTATGTGAAAAATGTTAATAAAATTTTATTAAATCTAATTAAAATCAACATGAATAAATATGTGAAGGAAGATTGATATAATGTGAAGATTGTTAATAAGATATAAAATTTATAGATTACAATTAACATTAAATTATATGTCCTTAAAAGTATTAATTATATAATTATTTAGAAAAATTCAATGTCCTATTGAAGGATGTAATGAGAAAATAAAAGAAATTAATTTAGAAGAACATGTATCTAATTTTAAGCATATTTTAATACTTTAATAATAAATTAAATAATTAAAAGAAGAATTAGTTTTATCTAATAAAAAATAGGATAAACATCAAATACCATATTTAGATGGTTGGAGAACATCCTTTTCTAAGAAAACAGACAGTAGAGAATGGTTATCAATAAATTCCATGTAAAAAATATAAGGCCCATTTTGCTTACGTTTTGAGGCATAGAATGTTAATAAACGACCTAATTAATGGAGAGCAGTAATTGGAGTATCTAAAGATAAACTATAAAATAATCATTTATGGTATAGACAAAAAAATGTAATCAAATATATTAATAATATTAAGTCTTTTGTGTGGATATTTGGAGGTTTTAAATGCAGTAATTAAGCAGAAATATATGGTAGTGAGGTTTAACATGAGAGCTTTTAGGGGAAAATGACTTTGAATCAATAAGGGGAACTATCTTATGAGTATTCAGGAATAGAATTAGGAGTTGCATTTGTATTGCCAAAAGAAGCCTATGTAGATGGAATATATTTAATCCTTTCTTTTGTTAATTAAGGAAAAATAAGATTATTATCATTAGAAAGTTTAGCTTGATATTTTTTCATTTATTTCTATAATAATTAGAGTAATTCAATAGACAATCTATTGTATTATTAGTAATAAACTGGTTTTATATGAAATTGTTTTAAATAATAAAATAAAATAATTATTGATGAAATCAATCACTAATCTATTATCCTCTTTAGTTTCAAAGTAACATACACCATTTGTATAAAAATTAAATAATTGTTCATTAATGTAGAATAATCCAATCATTTTAATGACAGATATATTGTATTTAATAGAATGTTTTGAAGGATTTGGTCCAGAATGTAATGGAATTTATTTGACAGGATAAGAATATTTGTAATAGTTTTTTAAAGCAATAACAAATAAATCATTGAATGGTTTTATTGCAATTAAAATTACATTAACTATCCATTTAATTCTTTATGAATTTTAAATTGGAGATTGTATTGCAGATGAAATGGTAAAAGAAGGGTCATCAATAAGAATTTAAGAAAATCTATAATTCAGTATGTTTGTATAAAACTATTTGATGTATTTATTGAAACTAGCATAAAATTTAAAATTGTTTTATGCTTGTAAAATAGGTTAATATCCAATTTTTGATTAAGATTAAACATATACATAATGTTCAGAGAATACAAGAGATCAATAATATCAATAATTTTAAATATTGAAAAAAAACAATAATTTCAGGGATACAAATTTATAGTATCGAAATTATTAATAAAAGAAGTTAGAATTACATATGTAATAATAAACAGGATGTATATCAATAGAATAGAAAATTTTATATCTATTTAAATTACATAATTTATTAAATTAATGCATTTAGATTTTAAATTTATGCATAAATACTCTAAAACAATTAGAAAATTAAGATTCCAAAAACATATTCATAGAAATTAGTTGTGTTTTATGGAATGATTGTATGGTTATGTATAAATTTGCTACATAAGAAGTATTATCATCATATGATAATTTTAGTTATGCAAGTTACTTGATTCTTTTAGATTCATGCCCTTATAACAATTACTTTCAATTTAACAAATATATTGGGTAACTATAAATTCTTCAACTTAAATTAAATATTTATATAACAATAGAAAATATTTTGATTAATAAAATATTGTAAAATTACCATTTTGGTTTGAAGAAAATAAAAAACTTTCTTAAGAAATTTAAAATAGCATTATTGATAATAAAATGCAATAAATACCAGATTCAACTAGAAATGTAAATAAAGTATCAACACCTTAAGCATATTAAACATAAAAATCACCAACTAATATTGCTTAACCATTTACTTCAAGAATAGGAATTTCTTAAAACTCTACAAAAACAACAATACCTTAATAACCTTATTTCATAGCTAATAAAAAATTATAACAATAACCATAATAATTAGAAACTTAATAACCTATGAGTACAAGAGCAAAAAACTTTGTTGGAAGTATATTTTCTGATGAATAATTAACTATTTCTCCAAGAGAATCTACAAAATAATAATAATAATGATAATTATTTAAATGATACTTTATTTATAAAAACATAGTATATTTAATAATATAATTTAACATAGTTTAAAAATCATAAAAATTTGTCAATATGATGAACTTTTTAACTTCTATCAGATGATTTTGATGATTAAGAACTAGAATCATCTTAATCATCTAAATTATCTGATTAAAATCTTAAGAGTCTTCTCTTTTAAACTCTTTTCTACATTTTCTTTAAATCATTTTAATAATCTTTATCTAAATTTTTATGGTACTTCTTTTTCCATTTTACTAAATCTTCAAGTTCATTATCTAATAATTTCTATTATTCTGCCTATAAATAATTAATATATATAAATTTACAGCTGGATTATTTATTTTCATTCCTTTTGGCAATAATTACTTTCTTTCCTCTTTCCATTATTCTAATTCATCATTTATTAATTGTTATTTGTATTCTTTTTCATATCTTTACTTACGTCTATATTTGCTTATTGAAGCTGTAGATTTTGTTTTAATAATATTTGGACGAGAACTCTTAATTATCTTATTTAATCTATTATCTATATCAGCAATTTTTTATTTTGCTTTCATATTGGACTAATTTCCTAAATCTAACATAGAACAATCAACTGTTCTATTAGTTATTGATAGATTAGTTTAACATGGAATTGTTGGAACAAATGATTTCTTTTTTGAAGCTATAATATTTTCAAAAATTGTGTGTAATCTTTCAAAATTAGGTAAACTTTTTGCTCTAAATTTATCAAAACTCTCTGGTTTATATTTTTTTTTATTTTGTACTCTTTTAAGTGATTTTCTAATTTCTTCTCTCTCTAAAGATTTCTATAATTAAGTTGAATTTGCAAAATAATCAGCCCATTATGCTTTTTTCTTTTCTACATTACTCTTTGATCTTGATCTTTACTCTTCCATAATCATTTAAAATCTTGGATCTCTTATACTATCTGGAACAGGTCGAGACATAAATTTGAATTCAATTTCTTATTCTGGAACCTATATCTCTTTTTTTTATTTTTCAAAACTTTTAGGTTCCATCATACTTTACATTAATCTAGCTTTACTTTCCTCTTTTATTCTTTCCCTTCTCTCCTCTCTCTCTCTATTTAATTAATCATAAAGAGGTTCTTTAACAAACCATGGTACTGGATTAGCTTAAAATTTAGTATTTATTTCTTTTAATAAATCTTTTTCTTTATCAATTAACATCTTTTCAACTTCCTTTTACCTAATTGATTTTACTTAATTTTCATTCTCTTTCCTACTATCAGGTACAGTAATTAAAAAAAATCCATTATCAATTTTATTAATTGCTCCAAATTTATTATTTTCTATAGGATTCTCTTTTTACTTCTTATTTATTGTGTATTATTGTTTTAATTTTTAACTTAATATTAAAGGACGACCTCTTACAGTAAAAAAATCAATAAGTTCATCTAAATCTATATATTCATCAGCCTCTTATTATAATCTATTAATTGTCTCTTCTACATTTTCTATTGGTAATTGATTAGTTTTTTCTTTTCTGACTTTCATTTTAAAGAATTTTCTTGAAAAATCTTCATTTGCAATTAAATTATCAACAACCAATTTCTTTTAAGAAAATCTTTCATTACTCTTTCTTATTTGATTGAAAATCTTCTCCAATTCACTAAAAAAATTAGACTATAAACATATTTCTTCATTTTCAAATAATTTATCATATTTTCTCTTTTTTGATATTTAAGATGATTATAATATAATAAATTTATTTGGTATCTCAAATAATTAATTTTACCATTCTTTAAAATAAGATTTAGATATATATTCTAATTCTAATCTTTAACAATAAACTTCAAATTCATATAACCACTTTTCAAATGGAATATTTTTATTAATATCTCTAAAAGATATAAAAGTATCAAATAAATATATTCTTGTTTCATATCTAGTTCTAATTGAAGATATTAATTTTATAGGATTTACTTTTTCTTCACAATCTAAATTGAATTCATCATAAATTTTTAATAATAATGATTTCTATGATTCTTCAAATTCTTAATTTCCTTTTACAGATTTTAATAGATTTTATTCATAATTATCTTTTATAATTAGAATTTTTGGATATAGTATGAAATTAATAAATTCCTCTAATGTTATTTCTTCCTCAAATTAAGTAGGAAATTCATTCAATTAATCTTCTAAGAGATTTTTATTGATATTATAAGCATCACAAAATTTACGATTTTCCAACATATAAGAACATAAAATTGATTTTGGAATAGATTTATTTGGTAATTCTAAATATTAATTATAAAAATGTGTGACAATTACAAAGTCATCAGGTGAAGGTGTAGGGATTTAAAAATTTGGATTAAATGATGCAGGTAATAAAATATCTTTTGGTCTAGCCTAAGGAAATTTATGCTTTTTTTTCAATCTTTCTTAAGCATTTAAATCTCGTCGTTATTTTGCAGTGAATGCAATTTATAAATTTACATCATGTTCAAATAATTCATCATCACTTTTATCTTCTTTTTCTTTGAGATATTTAAAAAATTTAATAAAATCTGGTTTCTTCATCTTTTTTTCAATTTCTTCCAATTCAATTGTCTCTCTCTTTTAAATCAAAAAATGATTAAACTAAGTAAGATAATTATGTCTTTTTCCTATTTCACAATCCCAAATATTTAAAAAATCAAATAATTCTCTTGTTTTCAATTTTTTAGGAGGCTTAGGTTATTCTTTTTTTTGTTTAGGTTTCTAGTAAATTTAAAAGTTTCTATAATTCTTTTCTTTCTTTATTGTCTTTTCAGTGTCTTCAAAATAATTTGGATTTCTCTATATAATAATTCAAAGATTATTTACTTCTACATGGGGAATTAACATATTCGTTATAAAATTGATTTTGATTATTAATATTAATATTTAAATTAAATATATTATAATATATGCTAATCATCAATTGATATCCTATTCATAATAAAATGAATAATTATAAAATATATAAATAATGATACATAATTATTTTAATATTTTTTGTATATGATTTATTCTTTTCAACCGTTAAACTAATTATTCTATAGCAGTTATTTAAATTGATTATTTTCCTTTTCTAATTATACATATTATTTATTTTTGTGTATCATTTCTTGCTATAAATGTGAAATCTAAGAATCTTTTTGTTCAATTTCTTTATCATATTCAGTCGTCAATTGTGATTTCTATACTCTTAAGTCATTTCTTAACTTCTTTATATCTTTATTACTTTCTTCTAATTATTAATCTAAAATTTAAATTGTTTCGACCTATTCATTGTAAGCTTATTACAATGAGTAACACTATTATTAAAGTATTTGATATTATTGACTCCATTCTGTTAAGTATTATTATTATTGTAATATTTGAGCTTCATAATATTCAATTTTTTATAGAGCTTCTTTTTAGGTCTTTTGAGCTTCTTATTAAGTCTTTTGAGCTTCATTGAGTTATTCTTCTTTTATTTTATTTTCATCTTAAATTTTTCTAATATTATCTTTTAGGCTTTCAATATTTTACTTCAATTTTGTTATTTCAGTCGACTATTATTGATTCTATGATTTTAATGAGCTTATTTATTCTTCTAAATTATTTTATACCTAAATTAATTAATTTTATAAATTAGTTAATTATGTTTTCTATTCTTAAATTTTTAGTTCCTGTTTTTATTAAACATCATTCAAATTATTTGTAAGTTTAGATTACAAATATTATTTATCCTCTTCCAATGATTTTATTTGTTTTTAAAGATCATTTATATCTTTATTTTACTTATTTATTTAATTATTTTAATTATTAATTTCCTGCTCTTAAGCTTTAAATTCTTTAAATAGGTGATATGCATCATAAACCCTAAAATATTTATTATTTTCATATTTTTTTTTATCGTTACTTTAACTATAAACTTCTTCATCATTATGTACAATTATTAGATTGTCAAAAGGAATTTCTTATTCAAATTCTGCTATTTTTTTTTTAAATGTCATCATCCTTTCATCACAAGAGACAGTTACAGACTAATTTTTTGTTGTTTTCACCTCAAATTAAAAAGTATTCATCTTAAATGAAAAATGATTTTAGAAATCAAATATATATATAATAATAATGATAATAATAATTTGTAAGATATTTAAATATTCCCTTAAACTAATTATATGAGAAAAAATAAATATATTTAGATTATGAGGAATTTAATATTATCTTTTTGATTCTTCTAACTAAATCAATCCACTTTTTGTAATAGAATTAAACCCTTACCCTTTAATTAATTCCATATTTAAATAATCTTTCTTTTGTGAAATTTTACTTAAATCTTTATTTTCTACCAACTTTAGTAATTATTATCTACTATAATTGATTTCCTTATTCTAATCGTCATACATCTTAAGACTATTAATTCATAAGGGATGCAAAAAATATAAATTTTTATTAATAGAATTTCAATTTTTTTTTAAATAAATATTTATTAAATTAAAAAAAAACTAGAAAAATTTTCAAAACCTTATTATTTCAGTATAGAATTCAATAAGTCAATATGCAATTAAATATTACCATAAGCTGTAATTTATTCTAAGCTTTTTGTACTTATATTTTGTAATACTTATATATCTACTATTTATTGAAGAAGTAATGAAAAATAAATAAATTAAATGAAAAAACAATTACTTAATTTAAGATATTTGAGTTTTTTACATTCTTAATTTATATGATGATCTACAATATATTATTAATAATAATTATTATTATTAGATTCATATACAATCTATATTTTCACAAATATTATACATTTTGAAGCATTAATTCAAAATAGTCCTAATTTCTTTAATTTTAATATTGTCTTCAGGATCTAAATTGAATGTTCTATTATATATTAAATCTATTTTTACTTTAATTTAGGATTGTCTTATTCATTAGATGATGAACTCACTTGAATAATGGGCCCTAAGATATATTATAAATATTATTTACCTCCACCATAAATTGAAACTAAAACAGTCCATAATTAATGACTTATAAGACTATAATCCTTATCAACCTATTTATCTTAAAGAAGTTGATGATTACTATCCAATAGATGCAGATTATTGATTTCTCCTGGAGGAGGATTACCAAATATGAAATTCTTTTGTAATTATTATTTTGAATTGTAAAGATATCTTTACCACATTATAATCCAATCTAGATTAATGATAAATTATCTATCTGATTAACAATCTTCATATTTTTAAATTAAACTTCTCTCTAATTTTCTTCTCTTACTCATATTTTGAGCTTATTCAATACAAATGGTACAAGTTTAAATATTCTTTTAAATTAATGGACCACCACCATATTTTTCAACTAAAAATTAACATATAGCAGTTGGTAATTATACAGATTAAAGTTATAATTAAAAATAAGAAGAGGAATTATTATTATTATTATTTTACTACAAATTAATACTTTGATCACATAAGAAACTTGCATTCATTTATTCTTATGAATTTACATTTTCATAAGATTATCTAAAATCCCAATAATCAGGTTTCAATTAATTATGAAAACACAATAAATGTGATGTTATAATCATTTAAGGATTACTTAATGTTAAAAATTATTCAAACCAAAAATTAGGTAAAAAACTAAGTTCATCATCTTTTAATACTATTTCTCCAGTTTAAATTAATTCATATTAAGTTAATACATTATGTATAGTTTTGTAATTAGTAGGTGAATCTACTTTTTGATAAAATAACATAATAGCTTCACTTTCTTTTACATATTTTAAAGTTACTGGATTGATTTAATCATCTCTAATTGAAATAAATGTATTATTAGGTTATCTAATTATTGATTCATAATGATCACCACCTACATTACTATAGTGTACAATTAATCCAAAAAGTTAATAATTCAAATCTCCTTACATCTTAAATATTATAATATTAATACATTTAATAAATTAGAAAAATTAGTTTATTCAACTGGAAATGAGACATAAGTTTAATCTTTTTAATGTTTATTTTTGAATCTTTATATGTGAATAGCAAGTATATTTGAAAATTTACTAAATTTATATGTTCTTCTACCATTTCGAGATCCACATAAACAAAGAAAATTAGTTTCTTAAATGGGCTCATAAAACAAATCTAAACAATTTTATAATGTAACAGAATTTTGTCTATCTTTTGTTAATTTATTAAAGAATTTAGAGATTACATTTTATTCATTATTTTATGGTATTTCAAGTGATATAGCTGAATAATTTTCATTTACTAAAGTAAGTCTATTACAATTAAGACATTATATTGTTGATTGAAGTTCTCCTGAAAATACATTTTAAATAAATGAATAATCCCTAAATTTTGATGGTTAACTTCTATTCTCTATATAATTAATAATATTACAATAATAACCAATCATGTGTAATAGCTTCTTGATTTTAAAATGGTATAATATTTTTCCAATAAGAAACACTATTAGTAAATCTAAATTCTTCATGTAAAAAATTAATTATATATTTAAATGCTTCCTAAAGTATTAATTATAAATTATTACATAAGCATCTTTTTAACCATATCCTAATAACTTACTTTCAGATTATGCAATACTTTTTATAAGTTCTGTAGGATTAAGTAATTTAACTTATTTTGATTTTAGAGCATCACTCATACAACAAATATTTCTTAATATTATTTTTTTAATAGATTTAATATTGAAATCACCTTTCTCCATTTCAATATGTACTTTTGAGAGAATTTATTAAATAGTAGGAAAATTGAGTAGAATTTATAAAACACTATTCATAAAACTAAAATTAGCTATATTTAAGATGCCAACATTAGGAGAATTAAATCTCTATATACTTAATTCTTGCTTTTAAAAGTATCTTAGATATTCAATTCTAATTCTTTATGGATTAATCCATTAACTAAAAACATCTTCATTTCCAGTTAATCCATATTATTCAAAATCCAAGATCTCTAATTTACAAATTATACATGTCATTTATGTAGAAAGTAGATTAATAAAAATACAATGATCACTCTTTTCTATGTTTTATTATATTAATTTTATATACATTAATTATGATGATGGAGACACTATTTTTCTATATCACAAATTACTGCTTAACATCTTAAACATATATTTCCTATATCCATTTTATATTAACACTATTCACATTTTAAATTGTTTTTTTAGTAAAGTACCTGAATAATCTATTATATATTACTTATAGCTTTTGAATTTCTTAAAAAAATTTAGGCAATGATCTTTAAAGCAGTACTTTATGATAATGAATACAAATATTTTTCTCTTTAATTGATGACATCAATATTGCTTGATTTAAATTAATATTTTAATAGCAAACATATTAATATATATTATAATTAATCTTTCAAATAGGTTCAAATACTTATCCATATTCATTTAACATACTAATATATATATCTTTCTTAATTGTATCCTTTCTATTCTTTAATCCCTTCTTAGCTGTCATTTTTAATATTTTTTATTCAATTATTGCTACTTCTGAAATACAATACAAATTGACTAATAAAGATATTAAATCATCTAAGAAAATATATCCTTATTAATTAGAATCTTATAATAAATATGCTATTTCAAGTTTATCATGTTTTCTACAATTTGTTTATCCTAATAAAGTAAGAAGAGTATTTTTTAAATTTACAATCTAATCAACAATTACATTATCTGAACTCTTCACATATTCTTCTCTTACTGGATTATCATTCATTGAATTAAATAATAATTTTGATTGATGATCTTTAATATTGTTTTATTATTACTATCTAAAATATCTAAATAATGAATGAAATCTTCATATGTACATGATTCCATAATATCTAACTTATTTATTTTTTCAAATATATCTAAAATATAAGCTTAATCAATCTTCTTCTCTCTTACAAATCTTATTGCATTATTTTTTCTTTAAAGCATAATTTCCCTCTAACTTAAAGATGACTTTTATTTTGTCTATTAAGTTATTTAACCCTCATCAGATCGAATTACTTTTAAATTCTAACCTATAACTTATCTCTATTTCTTTTATGATGCTATATTATTAATTGATTAGAACATAAGTTTTGATTATTCATCCTAACCAAATCTTGGACTTGTCAATTCATTCTTTCTTATTTATTCAACCATTTAAGGAGTTATTTTACCTTTTCTAGCTACTTCTTAAACCTCTTTTTCCATCATAGTCTAATTGATTTAAGTACGCTTTTCAACTAATTCTTTTGTAGGTGGATGAGCCTAACCTAAAGTTGGCAATGACCAACCACCAGCTAGATTTTTAAAATCTTCAAATTTTACTTCTCCACTTCCATCTTTATCACACATTCTTATCATTTCTTCTATTTCTTCAGAAGTAGCTTTTTCTCCAATAAAATCCAAAAAAAATGATAAATCTTCAGATGTTATTCCTCCATCTTTATTCATATCTAAGAAATTAAATGCTTCTTTAATTTCATCTTCTGTGAACATACCTCTTACATAATCATATTATTAATTTGATTCTTCAATCATGTATTTAGTATAACCTGGTGTTATTTTAGATTAATCACTAGGTCCTGTTTTCATTTTTTATGATTGTTAATCATCTTAATATCTAAATTATGAACTCATAGGTATTGATTAATAACTGCTTGCATTAACCATTACTTTAGGCATTTAATTAATTTATGGTGCTTGTATTTATTTTATATCAACTGAATTTTATGGACTATTATTTCCAGCTTCATTAAAATCATTTGACACATAAGAACTTTTAAGTTTTTAATCAGTATCATTTGATTCCTATCTTTAAAAAATATCCTATTCTTCATTTTATTATATAATCATATTAATTATATAAATATTATATCATATTTCAATTTTTAATTGTATAGCTTATTTAGAAATTCTCTATCTAGGAAACTTAGGAATTAATTTAGGAAATGTTCCTTAACTTTGAAATGATTTAGGCAATTTACTTAATGTATTTGATAAAATGTTTGGAGGTATCTATGGAAGTTCAAAAGTAGGAATAGATTTTGAAGTTTTCACTTCTACTTCAGTTTTTTTTCTCTTAAGAAATAAAGGATGATCTTTTTAATCTCTATTTACTTCAGTTTAAGGAATAAGTAATTCCTCAAGTTATTATTCACTTAAAATAGAAATAGAACCATTCAATTTCTATAAAATTGAAGATGAAATTGAATGATTCATTGTAGTTATATTTTTAGGTAATCTTTAACTTAAGATACTATCATTTATATTTAATAGATTATCATTTTATTATTAAGATCTATTAGTAAATTAGTTTAATTATTATTAAGAATTTGAAATACTCATTGTTTTATTTTAAAATGTATTATTATTTTATGGAGTGTTTGTAATTTATTGATATTCTATTTTAGACATTTATACATTTTATTTTTACAATGTTTGTTATAATTAAAATGGATCTTTTATATCCATTAATGGAAATTGTCTGTCTTTTTTCTTTTCTTGTTTACCATCATAAAATGTAACACCTTCTTTCATGATCATTAATTCAATTTATGAAACTGATGTTTTAATAGCAAATTAATTATTTTATCCAATATTTTAATTATTCTTACTAGCTAATTGTATAAGTTCTGATTGCATTTTATGATTTGGAATAAGATCTCTAACTTCTATTAAAATTCGTTTTTCACTGATATTTTAGAATGATTTTGGATATTTATCAATATCTGGTGGTTTTTAGACAACAAGTTTGCCTTCAAAATCAAAAGTATATTTAGATTTAGAATCCACATTTAATCTTTTCAATTATTTAATTTACTCTTATACTTCAAGTATTTTAATTTTATCATTCTATACTTTTTATTATTGATTTGATATTTATCTTAGTTTTGCCTATCTAATATTTTCAATATTTGGATCTAATTCTTATTCTTCTTCTTCTATACCCATTTTAATAAGTTAGGAATCATAACATTCACTTTGTCCCTATGTCTTTATAGTCATTAATTTAGACATTCTTTTTGTATCTCTTCTCTTCATCACAGGAGAATTAGATATTTCTTTAGATATACCTTATTTAACTTGACCTTGACATCTTCTCCAATGTTCTATATTGACAGCAAGTGGTTCAGAGTCTTCAATAACATTTTCTTCAAAATCATCATTTCTCATATTATACTCTTCCATCAATACAATAACTTATTCTCTAAACCAATTATATCCTAATTAAGGCATGATAGAATTTATGTGCTTATTGATTATTATTGATGAACTTTATTGCACTATTTATTTTATGATACTTTTAGTTATCTATTATGATTCCACTATAGATATACAAAGTTCCTCATAAATCTATTCTTATTCACTCATAAGAAGAATATTATTATATTGATATTAATATAAAATAAATAAATTAAGCATCAATTGTTATTTTTCAAGTATTTTTCTTCTAAGTATGCATACCTTCTAAGTTCCTTCTCTACCCAATAAGGACAGTCAGGAATTGAAACATCAAGTATATATTTAATAAGTAATAAGATATGTTCTATTGCAGCAAGGAAGAATGCACTAACAAGGGCATCTTGATTTCCTATTATTCCTTTGAATTATTCCTTATTCACAGTTCCAATTACTATGCAATTCATAAAAGTAGCACAATAATTCATTATTTCAAAAATTTACAACCAAATTCCAATTGAATCTGCAGCTTAGGCTCTTTCTCTCTTTAAAATATGTTGATAATTATAGATTGACCATCTTAAATTTATGTAACAATTGATCATAAAAAATAATGGAGCAGCTGGAAAAGTAGGTGCAAACATAGTTGTATATCCAAATTATATTGCAATACTTGTGTATTCATCATATAAAACCTTTTATGGTTATTTAATTCGACCAATTTCTAATTCTTAAAGAAATGATAATTATATTTCTGAATTCACTTGATCAGTACTGAATTTTTAATTACATATATTAGGTACTTACTTCTTTTCTGCCAATTTTGTTGTAAATATTCTCTTAAATTATGAAAATTTCTCTGATAATATTCTCTTTTCTTATTTAAATAAAAAATATGGCAAAAAATTACTCTTTACATTAGAAATCACTCCTCTTGTTATAATTATACTTGCTACTGATACACTCAATTATGATGCATCATTCTCAAATATAGCTACATAAACCACTGATACATAAGATATTAAAAATTCAAATAAGAATACTTTCAATATATATGAATACTCTTGTTCAGACTCATACATATGATTTTCCCATGTTACTAAAGATGTACACAATCTTTTGTATAAATCACAAAACACTGTCATTGATACTCCATTTAAAGAATTTATTACTATTGGCATTATTGTATTACCTTTCCATACTTATAACCAAAGATTAAATGCATAAAAACTTAAAACAATAATTGCTATTCCAATCAAAATTACAGGTCCTTCAGCTATTAATCTTCTTTTAAAAGTAGTAAAATAATCATATATCTATATCTTATTAGTAGCCTCATTTATAATATACTGACCTGTATACATAACTCTTTAAGGTTGAGTTTATCTAAATTTATGCATATCCCAACAAAATTTCAATTCAGATTCTCGGTTTTTCCATTTCTCCATAAATAATGTAGACCATAATGTCATTAGTAATGCATAAAAAGGAACAATTGAAGAACTAATATATTTCTTTATTATTCATACTTTACTTCCTTTGTTATTATAATGTAGATTCCCAAAGCTGCTCCAAAGACTGATGGTATCATGAGCCAACCTATAATTTGTACATTTAAGGCTATGTACCATGCAACAACTGGACCAAAATATGAGGCAATAGCATGTAATGGTCTTAAAGCAATTTATTATGTTTCATATCGAATCGAATCCCTAATACAATTATTTTATTATTCATCCCAAAATTAGGTAATCTTTTCACACTTTTGAATATCTTCTAAAGGATAATGTGAGATTATTAATTTCTCTAAGACAAATTTATCAACATCAAATTCATCATTAAGAGTATTTAATATTAACATTTATACCTAAAGATCTTTTGGAAATTCAAAAAAGCCTCTCTTATCATAATGAAATTAACATATATGCTACAATAAAAGATGTAACTTACTTTTGTTTTAAAATTATAACATGATATCTAATATAGATGTGCCAATTAATAAATAGAATCAGGTGGCAATTTTAAGACATAATAATGATATACTGATTTTACTTTATTTGTCTTTGTATTATCATCATACAATTCTAATTTATCAAGATCTGGAGCATGAAATATAAGAAATTCGAAACTCCATCCTCTCTCTGTAAAAGTTTGTCTTATATTTTGTAATTGCAAATAAACAATATCTTTATCTACACTCAAAGTACCCTTTGTTTGAATTACATATTAATATCCCAATTCAGTTAAACTACTTATTTATTATTTGACTTGAATATTGTCTTTATAAAACTTCATAAAATTTTGATTGAAAGTTAATTCAAATGGTTTAAGACATCTACTATTAACAGTGTCTACTGATACTCCATGTAAGATTAAGGTTTTCATACAACCATACTTTTCTTATTCAATAGCCAAATGTAAAGCATTTGATGGATTTTAATCTGTTAATATATTTATACATTATTTCTAAATTGTATTATTAATAATATATACCTTATCAAAAATTTAATCTTTTAATTATTTTTTATTTTTATGATTACCATCTCCAGAATAATCATAATATTCATAATCATTTTCTAAAATAATTTTTAATATTTTAAGTTTTCCTTTAAAGGCTGCAACATGAAGACAATTGAAACCTTAATAGACATTAAGAAAAGGATTGCATCTCCTTTTTAAGAAATAAATAAAAAATTCAGTATTGCCTTGACTGGCAGACCAATACTATAATCTACATTCATATATTTCATTTTTAGTTAGATTTGCTTTACTATGATATATTGTAAACTTTTCCTTTTCTTTCAAAGCTTATTTCTCCAAATCATTAACATTAAATTTATTACTTTTCTAATGTTTTTTTGGATGTAAATTTTTTTAAGGTGAAGTAGATTCTTAATTTAATAATAAAGGAGGAGGTTAAGATATAATGATATTACATTAATCAGCTTAAAATTAATTTTCTTAATTGGTCTCTGTATTTTTTTAATTGAATATTTTAATTTCTGGTATTTTTTCTTCTTCTGGTTCTTTCATTTCAATTCGAGAATCATCATATAAAGGAATATCAGCAATTTCATCAATATTTTTAGATTATATTTTTTGACAACAACTTCTTTATTGAAATTTAATTAATATTTATTAACTAGGAGTCTGTTTTTGATTACTTTTAGGCATAGTATTTTTGGAGATGAATGAGTTTGAAGTTTAACTTCTATGATAATTAGATATATTAGAATATGGTATTCCATTTTTAGAAGGTTCAGATTCTGGAGTTGATTCATCCTCTTTTATTTATGTTTAAATAAATGGTTATTAACTAGTTATTATTGTAGCTTATCTATGTTTCTTTCTCTTTGGTTTTCTATTCAATGTTTGTTTTGTTGTTACTTAAGCATAATTGATAATTGTATTCTCAAATATTTCACGAACTTCTTTTCTATTAATTAATATAGTTATTTATACTTATATTAATCAGGTCTATTCTCTAAAAACAAATAATCTATAGGATAATTGCCTTATTGATCTGTTTCTAATTAAAGTTAAAAATTTTTTGAGATTAGAAAATCTACTAATTCTTTGTTTCCATAATAAAAAGCCCAATGTAAAGGATTTGGCTTAGATGTATTTGATTATGGAATTTAAGCACCATGATCAAGTAACAACTATATTGTCTTTTCTTATTTCTCTGGATTATATTCACCAGAATACCTTTAGAATAATTTGTAATATAGGATACCCTTTGATGCTTGCTAATTCTAAGGGAGTGTAAGAATGCATATCCCCTTTATTTAAGTCAATCATCAATTTATATTTCTTACACCACCACTTTAACAATTTATATTATCCTAAATAAGCAGCCCAATGTACGACATTTCTGTTTTAATCATCAACCATAGAAAAAAATGCCTGCAATTTTTATTATGAAAATAATAACTGGTCTTCGAAATGTTTTTTCAAAGTAGCTTTATTTCCATCTTTTACCCATTCTAATAATTAAGTTTGAGTAATTTGCATATGTTTTAAATAATGGAATAAATATTATAAATAACTCTATTCATTCATATTTAATAACTGAACATGTTTCAGATTTCATAACATAAAGTTATTCAAATGAGTTTATAGAATTTTAGAATTCTGATAAAGATTTAATATATTAAGAATATGACAATTTTGCTTAAGATTAAAATAGGATCGTTTTAATATATATATATATATATAAAATCATTGATTTGTAAATATTATAATAAAAATAACAAAAATGCTCACAAAGTTGGTTAGTTTGGGTAAAATCAACTCAATGTGCTTCAGATCAGTCTATTAATACAATTTATTTGGGGCACCTTTTGAAGGATTAGATCCAGCAAAACACATCTACATGAATAAAGGACTCTAAAATTGTATTATTTTCAATTAAGTTTTCTAGAATATGATGATCTATTTAGATTAGGAGATTATCCATATGTCAATGATTATCCTGTAATGATCGATTCCCAATAGTATGTACCATAAATTGCTTAATTGGTGGAATCTCATGTTAAATAGAAATTCGTAAGACTTATTAACTATAACAGCAAAATGCAACATTTACTGCTAGTGAATACGATAATGGTGATGTGTGGGCAGCAACTTGGGATGAGCTTGGTGTCAATAATTTCAAAGTTTTGGTTCCAAATCTTTTATTAAGACTCTCTGAATGTAATACCAATTAAATTATATTATTTTAGCTATTGTTGTCAAAGAATCAAAATGGACATGGACAAAAGAATAAAGATATAGATTACATGTGACATAAACTGTACTTGGTCCATAAGATTATACATAAATGCCTACTTACTATTTCATTAATGATTACAACACTGTACTTTGGATGTTAGCAAGATAATCAAATCATTGGACATCTCCAGCAATTAGAGGAGTCTAAACTCCATTAGAGAAATAATTGGCTTAAGATTTATAACCTAAACCTAAGATTTAATCATTATTCAGAGACAGACCTGAAAATAATACATTCTTAAATAGGTTGTTAAAAGCAGTTCATCAATGAATATCAATAAAATAAAGCATATTACATTATTATTTTTCATTATTTTTGTACAACTCTTAATTAATATCTTCTCATTATTTAAATTTACTTAAAAAAATAACAATATATTTTATTTTAATACTCATTCATTATCAAACCATTCAAATTTTATACAATTCATTAAACATTAGATTTCTCTATAAGATTTTATAATTCCTATATTTCATTTATATTAAATTATTATTCTTCTATTCATGCTAGGAAATAAAAATAATTTAACATATGAAGGTAATTATCTTATTAAATAATAAAAGAGAGATATCATAGCGATTAAAAAATACAACAAAATATTGTTATCCTATATTTGATATCAGTCTTTACTTATTCATTAGCAATTGTATTGCTATCCTATTCATAATATATCAATTTTAATTCCACACTTCCAACAGACTTTTAATTATTAATTTACAATTGGGAACAAAGTCCTATCAAATCTCTTAGAATTGCAGAAGAAAATGATATAAATAAAGTTTCTGCATCATTTTAAAATCAAAAAATTCAAACTTATAGAATTGACAATGAAAATTTAGCTTTGACTATTGAAAAGTTAGATTCCTTTACTTTTATTAACAATTATACACTAGAATCTGATTGTGATTAGTAATATCAATTATGTGGAGGTGTTGAACTGAATTCCAAATATTGTATAAACTTAAATTAAATTACCTCTACTTTCTAATGTCCTTTTAATGATATCTTAATTTAATAGAACTTTACTAATGGTTATCTTAAAAATCAAAGTGTTAATCTATAAAACTTTACGAATTATTTTTATGAAAAAAAATTACAATTAAGAAAAGGATCTGTAAATAAAACTATAATGGTTTTATCTTCTGTTTAATCTAGATAACCTATAACCAATTTCAGATTTGGATTTAATGGTTAAGTTTGTAAAGATTTAAATGAATTTCAAGAATGTTCAGAATCTTTATTAAACTACAAAGAAATTACAAAAATGAATGCTTCAGAAGTACTTGATTTAAATACAATTACTAATATTAATAATATTACTATCAATGATACTATAGGATTATATGCTGAAAGATATATTGAATTCAATATGGATTGTAGATACACTCTAATAGAAAGAGTTTTAGAAAGTCCTGATTACTATAAGGAATTGGGTTATATATTGTATATTCAAACACTTTTTACATTAGTATATTGTATATTTATTGGTATAATCCTAAATTTACTTCACTTTTTTATGTTGTCTGATTTTACTTTTATTCTAGTTCTGCCAATAATGAATCAGAAACAAGTTAAAATAATAAGAAGAATAATTTATGCTATTAGAATTGTTTCCTTTTTGTCTTATGGTACTATCATATGTTTGTTGTATTTTTATGAAGCTCAATTTCATGATACCATTAATAGAATTGTAAGAAGTCGTTGTTTAGAAGAGGATTTTTTATATATAATGAGTGATACATTAGATGAGATTGATAAATTTAGATCAAATTAAATTGCAATCTTTTGGATTTTTGTAGTCAGTTTGATTTTAGAAGTTTTTGCTTGTTTTATTATTGTTTATAGAGGAGCTAATGTTAAGAAAAAGAATTTATTATAAAAATGTATATATATTTATTAATCTATTAGAGTATGAACATGAATTAGAAATTAAGCATGATGAATAACAATATTTATTCAAGACTGATTAGAAATAAATATAAAATAGAGTATTACCTAGATAATCCTTTACTCCTAATGATAAATAAGCAATAAGATAATCAATAATATCTGATAATTCATCATCAAGAAGAAATAAAAATAACAATGTGTTAGCTGATATAAATGAATAAGATGAATTTTAAAATTAAAGAGAATCAATTAAACCTGTTTTTTAACATAATTAGTCTCCTCATAATACCATGTAGTCTCCAAATAATTATTAAGGATAAAAAATTTAGTTTAATTAATGAAATTTAAATTTATAAATAAAACTTAACTTATATTTTAACATTAAATCATTGACACTTCATAAAAACTTCATAATCTTAAGTATTTCTCTTTGGTAATAATTCTTGTTATAAGTTTTAAAGGTATGATTTACAAAAAATCAGAAAATAAAGAAAAATATTCTTTTAAATTATGTATTCAAAATTTTATAGAAAATTAATGGACATTTATAGATAACCCTAGATTCAGTAATATTTACTTACATAATAACTATATATACTTAAAATTTTGATAAATAACCAAATTATATTAATAAAGTTATTTAATGACTTTTAAGAAATCTAATGAATATAATTATTAAAAGATTCATTTAATCTATTAAAAATTGATCTAAAAATCATTTATTTTAAGAAATTATTATATATAAGAGCAAACATAGTATAAATTAATATCATATCATCTTTGATTATTCAATTTTCAATTTAAATTTCCGTTTCATCAATACTTTTTGATGAATGAGAAACAATAATAGCTTTTCTTCTGAAGTTTCTTCTAACATATACTTTAGTAATGTTCTAATTTGAATTATTTGGTTTTGGTGAATCAAAATCTGCAGTCACCATACTTTAATTATTTGTGTTATCTAAGTAGTTTTGGTTTTCAAAACTTAATTAGTTATTCAAAGGATTCATGTAAATTATTTAAGGATAAGCATTTGATGTTCTAACTGAAGAGTTTCCCATTATTTAAATAATAAATTTTTAGCAAATATTTCTGTATATAAAGCAGAATTTAAATGCAAATTTGAAACTTAAAAATTTTTATATTTGATATAAAATTAATGAATTTTTTAGAATTTATCGTATATAAATAAGTTAATTATGACTGAAATTTATATACAAGGAATTAAATAAATAAGTTTTATCATATATCTAGAATATAAAAGATCAAGGTCACAAATCGAATTATATCAACTTTTGATTAATCCAATCAAAGTTTTTTAAAATTTGTATTGTTCTTCACATTTCAACAGGGTTGTTAATTTTTAATTTCTTTTTTTGTTAAAAATAACTTCTTAGATCTTTATTTACTATTATTAGGTTAAAGATTTAGAATCTGATTAAGGAGAAGGAGGTTTTGAACAAGTTGGAGGTGAGTTTGTAATCTATTGTTTAGATTGATCATCGTTTGATAACAATTTTGATAAAGACTTTTCTTTGGACATCTTTAACTAAGATTAATTTGATTCCTTTTTTTGGATAGAGCATCCCATTATCTTGTTTAAATAATTTATTTTAGACAAATATTAGGATTTATAAATCAAATTTATTCATAAATTCATACTTTAATTCTAACAAATGATAAGGTTCAAAAATGAATAAAATAATATCAATCATTGAATTAATTATAGTAGGATTAAAATATACCTTCTAAAATAAAATTGTTAATCAATATTAACTTCTTATTATTAAATAACTTTTATATATGTGTTATTTTATTTATTCTTTGTAAAAAAGATTAAATTTAGAATATTTATATTCAAAAAATATGAGCTTCATTTATATAATACTCAATTATTAGTAAAGAATTAAACATGTAAGCATTTGAATTTATTATAATTTTTTATACAATTAAAACTCAATACTGGTTGAAAATGTTAATATCATTAACTCATATTTTACTTTATGTTCTCATAATGTTAATTTACGCTATACTTTTCTTTTGCTTGTACTAATTCAATAAATTCATAATATACTATTTTTTTTTCCTCTTATTATTTATTAATATATTTTTCTTATTTTTTTATACTTATTACTTGTTTTTATGGTTATTTCATATTCTTTTACCTTTTATTGGAATTTATTTCTTTTATTACATACTCTTAATAGCATTTTTAGAATTATTCAATAACTTTACTTCTGTTTTAGTTGTTTTAGCAGCTTACTTAATTTTTACTTCCCTAACTTTTATATCTATCATTTATGCCTAAAGAGTTTACTTTAAATATTGAAATTCCTTGAAATACACATATCCTTTTCCAACATTTTTTTATGGATCTGTAATTACTATAAAATCTAAATTTACTCGAATGTTTTTTCTGGTATCTTCTTTTTCAATATACAATGTCAAATTACCAACAAAGGCTTTTTTGAATGATTTTTCTAAAAATTGAATTGATTATAATTTACTTTATCATTCTATGCTATATCATAAATGTAGATTCATAAATAATTAACTATCTTGTTATGTTGATGATTTTGCATCTTTAAGTAATATATACTAAATTATAGATTATGCTCCTTTTTCAATCTTATACATCAATATCATAACTGATAATTTAATACTATCCTTTTAAGTTGTTCTATAAACAGGTGTTGATCTAATTAAATATTGTTAAAATCTTACATTACTTATTCCTACCTCACTATATTGATTGAATACTATTATAATATAATTTTTTAGCATTTAAACTCAATTTTCTACAGTTCAAGTTCTTCTTAAACTATCTTCTTAAATTTATTAAAGTCCTTATATTATCTGATGTTATGTGAATTATATTTTTAAATTGTATACTTTTATGATCTAAAATATTAAGAGGAAAGCATCTAAAAAATGCATTAAGAGTCATTATTAATATATTATTATAGTTATTTTTGTAAATTCTGATAGTCATTAATATAAATGCTTATACTTTTTATTTTATTTGCATAAAGTCTTGAAAAGCTAACATTAATTTAACCTGAAAGCCTTATTGATAAATTGGGATCAGAAATTAAATATGGCCTAGCTCATTTTGGGTATTATTTAATAAATAAATAGTGATATGCCATGGGGTTATAGGATGATTGGTACACTAATACCTACATATCCCATTCTTGGATGTGATTCCATTTTACCTTCCAAAGAACATGAATTCATCTTTATTGAAAGAGGAGAATGTACTTTTGTTACTAAAGTGAGGAATGCTCAAAATGCTGGATATAAATTAGTTATAATTGGAGATAATATTAATGAAGACATTGATAATACTTTTTCTATGCTTAATGATGGATCAGGATCTTCTATTAATATACCTTCCATCATTATAGGTAGCAAATGGACAAATGAATTTAAAGACATATTTACTAATTATGCTGGTAATTCAGAACACACTATTAAATTACTTATGAAATTTGATGTAATAAAATAAAGGAATGTTAATGTTTTATTCTCTATTGATTTATTAAATAATAACACACTTCAAATTATAAGTGAATATAAACCATATCAATAATTATTCGATATACAAGAAGTGAACTATCAATTTTTATATCCTATATACAGTTTAAAAATGTAAGATGATGAAAATACTATTATTGAATCCTTAAATTGTATTTCTTAAGGGAGATATTGTACTTATGATCCTGATGGAGATGATTATGGAACAGGATAAGATGTTATTGAAGAAATAATAAGATAACTTTGTTTATAGAAATTAAATATTGAGGTATTTTTTAATTATTTAGTAATAAATTGTATATATTTTAGGATTTATTTAAAGATTAATGTAAAATTGCTTATATGTATGAATATTGTTTCTCAGAATTACTTATTAGATTAAATTATCCAATATCTAAAGTAGTTAATTGTTATGATAATTCTTTCAAAAAATTAAAATCTAAATCAAAATCTAATTTAAATGCTTACAATAGTTTATTGGAAGAATAATTAGAAATACTTTCTGAATTCCCTCATACCAATTTTCCACCTGTAATGTTAAACAATCATTTTGTTGTTAAAAATGTTACAGCTAAAAATATATTTATCAATATTTGTTAAGGTAATATTTGATCTTATAAGGTTTCTTAAATCCCCCTGAAATATGTAACAATTAATCAAATTATTCAAACATTTAGGATCTCTCTTAATAATCTAGTTCCTTCTTATAATTACTAATTATCCTACTGGGTGTTCTACTTATATTTTTATTAGTAGCAACATTAGTTTATAAAAAGATAGTGAAACGTGCTTAATAAGAATAAACATCAGAATAAGTACATGAACTAGTCACTTAATATATAACATTTGTAGAAACTAAAGCTTCTAAACAGAAAAGTAGTTAATGACTGAAATTAAATTTATAATAATAATTGTTTAATTAATTAAATTACTATATAAGAAAATATACAAGTCTCAAAAAATATTTCAATGATAAAAACTTTTATTTTTTTAACTCTTTATTATTTTACTATATGCATTATTTACTATGATATCAGCTAATTCATTAGCTTTAGTGATATCAAGTTTATATTCATTCCAGTCTGAATTAGGATCCTCTATATTTATTTTTTCACCTAAACTATTATAATACAAATATTTAAATCTTGTAATTAAAGCATATGAATTAATTAATGTTACTGAACCATCTTAAAGGTTCACAAATATAGAATTTTCATTATGCATAATTTTTACATGATAATGTATGTCTTCTATATAATCTTCGGAGCAAGGCTCATTGCAAAATAAATCTTAGCATAGTAAACAGACAGTAACACCTGAGTTTTTACTTTTTTTTTGATTATAAAATTTGCAAATCTTGCATTTGTTAGAAAAATATTTACTATGAAATTCTAGAAATGTTTATCCCAAATTATTTTAAACAAATTATATGGCTTTAGTCTAAAAAGTTTAATAATATTCTAAAAATGTGTCATGTATACATTATTTTTCGGTTTTACTAATTATTTATATCATCATTTTTTCTTCTATGCCAAAAGAACTAATTAAAAGTGAGATTTCATCCTGACTTAATTATCTATATTAACCAATTAATTAAGTTATAGATAATCTTAATTAATTCAAACTACATTATTTCATATAAATTTCACAAATAGAGCTCAAAATATTCATTAAGAAATTATTTTTATTTTATATATTCTTTATTTATGGTAATACATCTTTATTATTTTAATCCATATCTAAAATCGTTTAATAAAAACACTATAGTAATTGGTTAAATAATATATTTTTTTGAGTCTTTTTATAATTTTAAGGATTAATAAATAATGAGATCAGTAAATCATAAAATAGACTTATGTAAATTTTTGCTATAGTAATCTCCTAATTTAAAAAAGGTTCAATTTTTAAATTATAGTAAATTTTACTTAAATAAGTATTTAAACTTTTAACTTTTTGATTGTCTATTTATTAAATCGGAAATCTACAATTCGCAGAAAATTTACATATTGGGCAATCAAATGAACGTTAATTTAACCCATACCCATAAATATTATCTATCATTTAATGGCTGTTAAAGATTTAGGACAAGCATTAATCATGAAAGTAGTGTTTACAAGTTTATATTCCCAAATCTAAATCAAATGTTATTTCTTCTTTAAGCATACCATTTCTTTAATTAAATAATTATTATGAAGATTTCAAATAAATATTCATCATTCCCACACTATTTGAAGTTGTAAAATCTAGTTTACATGTAGAACATTGATCTTCTTCTTTTATTAAAATTTCATTTTGTTCTTTTTTATCAAGCATCTCTTATATTAAATTTGATGACTATATTTTATTAAATTTAGCCTTATATTATTCTTTTTGAATTTAAAATTTCTATTTAATAGTTTTTTACACATTATTCTTTGTTTATTCTTGATTTAATTCATTAATTGATTATATAAGAACTTTGATTTTTTATTGATTCTACTATTCACCCAAATTATTTTATTATTATATTTCTTCTAATTAAATTATTACTATTTCAAAATATTATTTAAATAATTATTAATCAAATTAATTCAAATAAGCAATTTAAGCATAAATAAGATAGCATTACTATTATATTAAATTTCTATTTTACAATAAATAAACCAGATTTTTCAAAAATAATTCAAAATGGCAATAAATCTTTAATACTTAATGCATTAAGACTCTATAATTTTTGTTTGAAAATTATTCAATATCCCATGTGATCCCATTTCCTAGTAATATTTCACTGTCTGATTTTTTTTACTCAAACAATCTTTCTTGTATTTAACCATATAATTATGATTAATTTTATATTAAACTAGGCTCATAGAATATTTTATATTCTACTTTTAGTTTTAATTTTTTTGTTGTCTAATCAACTTCACATATTTATAATATATGTTTAGAAAAATTTGAAGTAATTAAAACACCAAAATTTTTAAGTTTCTACTAAATATCTTGATATTCCATTTAAGTTGAAATAATAAAATAATTACCAACTATTCTAACTAAAGACAATTTTAAATCATTTGTTAATTAAGTTAATAATGGACAACATACATTGTAAAGATCATAATCTAATACAATTAAGTTAATAAACATTTATTAAAATTTATTATATTTCTCCTATGTTTATTGTTAAATTATTGTTCCTAATTATTTTTCTCCAAGAGTACAATTATAACTTTAATAAAATTCTTCCATCATATTTTAAAATCTTGAGAATCCATTAACATCAAATAAAAATATATATAATTTAATAAAACAAGTGTCAATTCTATGAAATTATGAATATTCCATATGATTTTCAGTTCCTTAATAAACAGATTTAATCTTTTAATTTTCATTGTCATTAAGAATCAAATAAACTTGCATAATTTCTTCTAATAATAAATTGAGTATATTTTCAAATTCTTATTAATCTTCATCTAAAATATCAATTAAGTAAAGTAGGAATTATTTTCCATTTTCAAATTAGGTAACACAATACAAATATGATAAATAAGAAATAAACAATTTCTATATTATCATACCATTTTTAATTTTTAATAAATCATTTGATTAAAATTAAGAAGATCTATTACTTTAATAATTAATTCTTATAGTTTTCTTTAAGATGAAGTAAGTTTAATAAAAAAGTAATTTAATAATGTTCTTTTCAAATATTTCATTACTAAATTTGTTACTGAATAAAGTATGTAAACCAGTACAAATTGCAGTATAATATGTTGCTTAATCTTAAATATAATGAATAGTATCAGCTAATATAATTTAATTATTGAATATATTAGATTAATTCTTCATTTCAATTCCTTAACCTAAACTATTAATTAAATTTGTTATTGCAAACTTATTAAAGTTGAATTCTTTTATTAAATCAATTGTAATATCTATTTATTTAAATTCTTGAAAATTTTTACTTAATATATTTTATAATTAACCTAATGCTATTTCTCCAAAATTCTTATATTCAAATCTCTATTTAAATAATTATGGAAGTTTTAATTAAGCATTAGAGCATAATGCACCAGAAGTATAATTTAATTTTTATATAGTAACTACTAAATCCTAAATATTTTAGTTTTAAGAAAAGAATTATTCTTGCATTTCAAAAGATACAAATTAAGATTCAGTTTTAAGTATTTTGCTAGAGTAAACAAAATGGATTTATAATGGATTATTTTATAAATCATTTATTAATGGTTTAATATATTATTCAATTCTTTCGTAATCGAAATCCAGAAATTTGAAGTATTTTAAATATAGACTAGTTTATTTTTAATTAAGATGTTTTTAATTAAGATGTTTTTACTTATTCTTTTTTATAGATTAATCTACATATTAGAGTTATTTCTCTATAACTTAATCCCAATTGGTTGTTTTAAATTGATTGATTAACCAAAATTTAGAGAAATTTTTCAAAATTATAGAGAAAATACAAGCTTTGAACTCTTCATCAATAAATAGTTAATAAAGGATTTTATCTATCCTATAATTATTTAAACTTTAATAAACTTCAATATATATATAATATCTTAATAGTTTTTCTATAATTGTATATTTAGAATTAATTAAATTCTTATTTGTGAGGATTTGTTAAATAAAAAGTGAATATTGAAGTCTTTAATCAATTAATTTTTCAATTGTCTTAAATATTAGAGTATTTAGATTAGATGCGCTTCTAAAAAGAACATAAATTGATTCATTTTCCTAATAACTCTCCAATATTTCAATTGAACCTTGATCCTTAAAATGTTTAGCATAATGATATAGAGCTAAAACTGTAATTTATAAATTTGAAACATTCTTCTTTTTTATTTTTTTCATTAAACTCCTATAAGAATCAAAGAGTTATTGAAAAAGAAGTGTGATATTATTTTATAACTAAATAGGAATTTTATTAATTTCTTATTTCTTCCTTATAATAATTTGATCATTATGTTTTGAACAAAACCCATTATTTGAAATTATAGATTTGATACCACAATCGCATAATCCCTTATTTTTTACATCAATAATACACTAATGATCTTTTAAATTAATATATATTATACCTTTATGTAATTAAGGTACAAAACAATTTTTGCAAAACATATGTGTAGGTTCCTTTCCACAAGTAAAACATTAAAAACTTAATTCTTTCTCAGAAATGAATGCTCCACACGTAGATTACAATCGAGGTTTTAATTTTAACCAATCTTAAAAACTTTTATTATTTTGAAAAATAAAAGCGAAAAATTTTTCTTCCATATTATTTTTATTATCATTGTCATTAGCAGCAGCTTCAATCAATTTTTTTACAATATTATTCATTTGTCTAAAGAAATTAATGAATTTTTACAATATTTTTTCCTTACAATATGTTCACATAATTCTATTATATAGAAATATAAAATTATTTATAATACTTAATAAAAAAAAAATAAATGGATATCTAAAAATATATTGGCATCATTTTGAATGCAGCTAAAATATAAGAGACTATGAAGGATTTTGAATTAGTATAATATGTTTTAGAACTTTCAGATAATGAATTAGAAAATAATATTATAAAATTAAAAGGAACAGGAAATAAAAAATAATGTTCAGCTTCTTTTAGTAAAAATACTTTATATTTTTAATGTTTTGATTGTTGTAAAGAACCTAATCATGTTTATTGTTAAGAATGCTATATGCCAGAAAAACATTAGAGTATAATATTTTTTATTCATTAGATCATGTAGTCACATTTAATTATTTGAATTCTGGATGTTGTGATTGTGGAGATACTTTGATTATGAAGAAAAAATCATTCTGCAATAAACATTCATAAAGTCAAATTGAAATGCCAATTCCTGAGAAATTATTTGGGAGTAATAATTTATAT